ATATATATATATATATATATATATATATATATATAAAATAAAATTCTACTGTATAATAGGAGAAATCTCCAAGTTTTATTTTAAAGGGTTGTTGTGAAGAAATGACTCTCAATCAGCTCAATCAACCAAAACAACCAAACAATTAACTGAGATCAATAATTGATCAAAATATAATACATTTTTTTTTTTTTTTTCTAAACTGGCATTTGTTCTCTTGTACCTCAGGTGTGTCTGGACCTCGCAGTTGGGATCCAGGGCGTTTGGGAGCCAACGGGCTGCGTTTATTTTCTGAAGCACGTGAGCTTGTTTTTGTGAGCTGAGCGGCCCGGTGAGCAGCAGTGCTGGACCGGATCTGACCCGGCAACATGGTGGCGCGCTGGGGCTGGGAGTTCGCAGAGCTCTGGCTCGAACTTGGTGCAAGAGAGAAGCGGCGAGAGTTTAGGGACTCTAGGATCTGACCAGGCATCACGGATGCACGTCGGATCGTCTCATGCGGGTCACCCATTCGCAGGTCCTCGTCTGTTATGGTGAACGAAGGACCCAGACTGGGCTGTCGAGGCAAAATGATACAGTTTGATTCTGGTCTTATACAAGCAATGCAGCTAAAGCGAACTCTTCCAAGCTTACCCTGGACTCCAGCGGGTAGCTGCTCTTCAGGTGGGGCAGACAGGCTTTGTTTCGCGTCTGCAGTTCTGCGATGCGCATCCAGTCATCAGCAGCATGCTCTGGTTCATTCTCTGCTCCAATACAGAATGTACTGGTGGCTACACAACACACAAAATTCTCATATATAACTAAAATGTAAAAAACGTATTTAATAAAAATAATGTAATAATAAATAATTGTATACAGTACACACTGATACACCAGATGTCCTAAAATAAACTAAAACTGAAATAAATATTATAGAAAATAAAAAATCTAGAAAATATAAAAATAAAAACCAATTCGAAATAAGAACTATAATAGTATCTCAATGATACTAAAATGTCACTGGTAATCCACAGAGTAGCTATAAGCAACTTTTCACCTCTTGGTGGGCCAACGTTGTGCACGGTGCTTCTGCGGTATCCAGGCAGACTCTGAAAGGTGTCTGCTTTTGATAAAGTTGCGACAGCACTTTCCTCCGAGAGGTCCATGGAGAATGGCCGTGAATGCTGAACTGCCAAGTTGGGCTGAGATCGGGCAGAGTGCAGACTAGAAAATGACTCCTCGCCTTCAGCACTTCCTGATCTCTTCTAAACAAGCAAGAGTAAAAGAAAAAAAAAAAACACTTTAGAAACTTTGCGACCCAGTACGAGAGAAAAAAAAGAGACCTGACCAAGGAGCCATGAACAGAGGTAGTACTAGTCAAAGTGCATTTTAAGGCAAGTTAGTTTTCTAGAGATGTAACGACTCACGATGTGATACGATTCACGACACTGATTTCACAATATGATTTTCTCACAATATGTTTTAACAAAATTAGATTGAAGACAAATTATAAATCAAAAGGTGTCCTTTTGATCATTTCTCAGACAAAACACTGCACATCTCTTTGTGAAATTTAAATTGCATAATTTTGAAATCTGAAGCAATAACTGAAAGGTCTGACTTTAGCTTTGTGAAACTACACTACATAAAACATCTGAACGAAACAAAAACAGCAGGTGGCGCTTATGGAACAACTCCTATATAGCATTTCCTTGGTTACCGCTGTAAACACAGCATCTGCACTTATAAATACTACCCTATTATGTATTATACAGAGGTAAGATGAAAATAAATTACTAGGGATTTCCCACTTGCCAAACTCCCATTTAAAATGACATTTTTCAAATTGGCACCTGACAGGAACCGTCTCATAAATGTTGTTTCTTATGCTCGAAGACCATTAACCATTGGCTCTTTGATTTGGAAGGTGGGACTTACTTTACAAGAGCCAACACAACCTTTTTTGAACCCAAGAAAGTGCAGGAGGCAAGTAGAAGGTTGTGCATTTCCTACCTTAGCCATGGTGATGTTGATAACTTGCGTAGTACGTCGCCTGCGAGCCGAAGCGGTCAACTTTGCAGAGTCAACCACAAGATCGCCAATGGAAGTGATACTGGACTCTAGTTTGTGTTCAAAGGCATCGTTGTGGTCTCCTTTACGCTTGTTGCCTTGTTGACTCAAAGGCGTGAAGTAGAGAGTCTCCAGGGATTCGGCCCCCAAGGCACGACGTTTAGCGGCCAAGCGCTCAGAGCTACGAACCAGTGGAGTGCTGGATTCACCCAGTACTGCAGAACAACTGCCAAATTGGGAAAAAATGTACAATGATGCTGCATGAGTTCCATGGAATACCATGTTAGAAACCTATACAGTTGGGTTGGTTTAGTTACCTGTTAGCATTGAGTGAATCGTTCAGCTCAAACTCCAAGCTGTCTGTACTTGTGTCCTGCTGTTTATCTGGGACTCTGATGTACAGACTTTCTCTGTGTCTCATGTTCTCTTTGTCTTCCATCATCTTCTGCTCTCGCAGTTGCCTGTCAGCAAAGTCCACCTAAAACAAGCACACAATTAAACAAGAAATTGGACAGGAAACTAAAAAAAATGAGAGCTCGATTCAGTCTCATTTCCACATTCTTTAAATATTAAGCAGTAAACTAACTTCTGCCTTCAAGCTTTTCACTTTGGCCGCAAGCTTCTTCTCCTTGGTGCTCGCCTGGTCTAGTTCCATGCGAGCCAATGTCATTTCCGTCTCCAGAGCTTTGACTTCCCTCTTGCTGGCCTCCAACGAGTGCTCAAGAGTTTTGTTGAGCTCCTGAGCTTCCACCAGCAGCTGCTTTTTACCGTTGTAATGATTCTTGGCCTTCTCCACCTGAGGAAGTATAGCAAGTGATGATGCATAAATGATCATGCATAAATATGCACGAAAAAAACTAAGAAAGATGTGATTGTAAACAGACCTGTGCTTTGTAGTGCTCTACTGCTTCTGACTTAGTCTTCAGTTGCTTCAGGAGTTCCTGATTCTGCTCCTCACACTTTTGAGAAACCTTTTTAAGAGCAAGGGTGGAACCATTTTGCTCCTTTAACGTCAACTCCAGCTCAGCTTGAATCTTTTGGGAGGCGTCACACTCCCTCTGGAGAGACTGGTTGAGAGAACTCAGGTGGTCCTTTTCTTGCCTCAGCATCTCCAAATTCTGCTGGTACCCATCAAATTGACATTTGTCGACATTAATCTCAACAATCCTCTTCTCCAGGTCCTCTTTCGCCTGATGCATCTCAAGGACATCTTTCTCCTTTTGTTGGCACAGCAGTTCCATCTTCCTGAGCTTCTGATCCAAAGTTAGCAGAACTTGGTTTTTATCCGAGACGTCACGACTTGCAGTTTCCAATTGTCCCTGAAGGGTTTCAATCTTCTCTTCAAGCACTCTGTGGAGATCGTCTTCAGACTGTTTGGCCCTTAACTGCTGATCATTTATTTCATCTTTAAGAGAACTTATTTGAGCTTCCCTCTCAGAAGCAAGAGTAGAGACCTCTAGGATTTTAGCCTGAAGTTCACTTACATCTTTCTCAAGCTCCCGAGCCCTTTCTCTAAGGTTCTCTTGTTCACAAACCTCCTTTTTAAGCAACTGAACCTCAGATTCCTTTTGAGAAGCTGAAGTTGTAAACTCCACCACTTGCGTCTTAAGAGCAACTAAGTTCTCCTTTAATGTGTTGTGTTCAGCCTCTAAAACAGAAATCTCCTGTTGCTTCTGCACTTCATCTTCCTGGTAACTTTGGATTTCATCTTTGAGAGAGGTTACTTCAGTTGATAGGTGGTCCCTTTCCTTTCTCACCGTTTCCAAATTCTGCTGGTACTCCTCCAGTTTTTGTTGATTCTCAACAAGAAGCTCACCAATCCTCTTCTCCAGGTCTTCCTTTGAGTGTTGGATCTCAAGTACATCTTTCTCTTTTTGCTGGCAATTCAGTATCATCTGCGTCAGCTTCTGATCCAAGGACTCCAAAAGATGATCTTTGTCTGAGACGTCTCGACTGGCAGTTTTCAATTCTCCCTGAAGGCTTTCAACATTTTCTTCCAGCACTCTGCGGAGATCATCTTCAGACTGTTTAGCCTTCAACTGATCTTGAAGAGAATTAACACAAGCCTCCCTTTCAGAGGCTAGTGTGGAGACCTCTAAGATTTTAACTTGAAGTTCACTAACCATTCTCTCAAGTTCCTCATGCTTGGCAGTCTCAAGCTCCTGAGCCTTTTCTCTAAGGCTATCTAGTTGGTGAAGCTTGTCTTTAAGCAAGACAATTTCAGATTGCTTCTGTGAAGCTGCAGTCGTTTCTTCCACCAATTTCTTCTCAAGGCCATCCATGTTCTCCTTAAATGTGTTGTGTTCAGCCTCTAAAACGGATATCTCCTGTTGCTTCTGCACTTCATCTTCCTGGTAATTTCGGATTTCATCTTTGAGAGAGGTTACTTCAACTGATAGGTAGTCTCTTTCCTTTCTCACCGAAGCTTGTCTTTAAGCAAGACAATTTCAGATTGCTTCTGTGAAGCGGCAGTCGTTTCTTCCACCAATTTCTTCTCAAGGCCATCCATGTTCTCCTTAAATGTGTTGTGTTCAGCCTCTAAAACGGATATCTCCTGTTGCTTCTGCACTTCATCTTCCTGGTAATTTCGGATTTCATCTTTGAGAGAGGTTACTTCAACTGATAGGTAGTCTCTTTCCTTTCTCACTGTTTCCAAATTCTGCTGGTACTCCTCCAGTTTTTGTTGTTTCTCAACAAGAAGCTCACCAATCCTCTTCTCCAAGTCTTCCTTTGAGTGTTGGATCTCAAGGACATCTTTCTCCTTTTGCTGGCAATTCAGTTTCATCTGCGTCAGCTTCTGATCCAAGGACTCCAAAAGATGATCTTTGTCCATGATGTCACAACTGGTAGTTTCTAGTTGCTTCTGTAGGGTTTCAATCTTCTCTTCCAGCACTCTGCGGAGATCATTTTCAGACTGTTTGGCACTTAACTGCTGATCATTTATTTCATCTTTAAGATAACTTATTTGAGCTTCCCTCTCAGAAGCAAAAGTGGAGACCTCTAGGATTTTAGCCTGAAGTTCACTTATATCTTTCTCTAGCTCCTGAGCCTTTTCTTTAAGCTTCTCTTTGTCGCAAACCTCCTTTTGAAGCAACAGAAGCTCAGATTCTTTCTGAGAAGCTGTAGTTGTCAACTCCACCACTTGCGTCTTAAGAGCAGCCAAGTTGTGTTTTAATGTGTTGCGCTCAGTCTCTAAAAAAGAAGTTTCCTGTTCAATTTCTTGGTAATTTCGGATTTCATCTTTGAGAGAGTTTACTTCAGTTGACAGAATGGCTCTTTCATTTCTCACCATTTCCAAATTCTGCTGATACTCCAGCAGCTGTTGTTTCTCAACAACAAACTCACCAATCTTCTTCTCCAAGTCGTCCTTTACCTGATGCATATCAAGGACATCTTTCTCCCTTTGTTGGCACAGCAGATCCATCTGCTTCAGCTTCTGATCCAAAGTCTGCAGAAGTTGGTCTTTGTCTGAGACGTTTCGACTGGCAGTTTCCAATTGTCCCTGAAGGGTTTCAACCTTTTCTTTCAGCACTCTACGGAGATCATCTTCAGACTGTTTAGCCTTCAACTGATCCGTCAACTGATCTTGAAGAGAATTAACACAAGCATCCCTCTCAGAGGCTAGTGTGGAGACCTCTAAGATTTTAACTTGAAGTTCACTAACCATTCTCTCAAGTTCCTCACGCTTGGCAGTCTCAAGCTCCTGAGTTTTTTCTATAAGGCTCTCTAGTTGGTGAAGCTTGTCTTTAAGCAAGACAAGTTCAGATTGCTTCTGTGAAGCTGCAGTTGTTTCCTCCACCAATTTCTTCTCAAGGGCATCCATGTTCTCCTTAAACGTGTTGCGTTCAGCCTCTAAAACAGATATCTCCTGTTGCTTCTGCACTTCATCTTCCTGGTAATTTTGGATTTCATTATTGAGAGAGGTTACTTCAGTTGACAAGTGGTCTCTTTCTATTCTCAATATTTCCAGATTCTGCTGGCATTCGGAAAGCTCTTGCTTCTCAACATGAAGTTTAACAATCCTCTTCTCCAGCTCCTCCTTTGCCTGATGCATTTCAAGGACATCTTTATCTTTTTGAAGGAAAAGCCCTTCCATCTCTTTGAGCTTTTGATCCAAAGAGCCCAGCAGTTTTTCTTTATCCGCAGCACAACGATTGACCATATCTAGTTCTCCTTGTAGGGTGCCAACCTTCTCTTCCAGCTCTCTGCGAAGATCTTCTTTAGACTGTTTGGCAAGTGATTGTTGATCCTTCATCTCACTTTGAAGGGAAATTACTTGAGCCTCTCTCCGAGAGGCAATTGTGGAAACCTCTAGAATTTTGGCCTGAAGCTCACTCACCTTTTTCTCAAACTCTTCACGTTTGATTGTCTCAAGCTCCAGAGCTTTTTCTTTCAGGGTCTCTTGATGGGAAAGCTCCTGTTGAAGCAAGAGGAGCTCAGATTCCTTTTTGGAAACTCTGGTTGTCACCTCTACCAACTGGTTCTGAAGAGCAGCCAGATTTTCCTTCAAAACGTTGTGGTCAGCCTGTAACAAAGACACTTCTTGCTGGGAACGGCAGATTTCCTCTTGGAGAGATGATACTTTAGCGGAGAATTGGTCTCTTTCTTTTCTCAGCATTTCTAAATTCTGCTGGCACTCATCCAGTTGTTGTTTCTGCTCAATAATCTTCTTTTCCAGGTCTTCCTTTGCTTGATGCATCTCAACGACATCTTTCTCTTTTTGTTGGCACAGCAATTCCACCTGCTTCAGCTTCTGATTCAAAGATTGCAGAAGACGGTCTTTGTCTGAAGCATCACGATTGGCAGTGTCTAGAAGTTCATGTAGATTTCCAACCTTCTCCTTCAGCTCATTGCGTAGATCATCCTCACACTGATTGGCCCTCAATTGTTGATCCTTCATCTCATCTTGAAGAGAACTTAGACAAGCTTCTCTCTCTGAGACAAGAGAGGTGACCTGTAGGATTGTGGCCTGAAGTTCACTCACGGTCCTCTCAAGCTCCTCACATCTGGCTTTCTCAAGCTCCTGAGCTTTTTCTCTCAGGGTTTCTTGATGGCAAAGCTCCTGCTGAAGCAAGTGGAGCTCAGATTCCTTCTGTGAAGCTGTAGCTGTCACCTCGGCCAACTGGTTCTGAATAGAAGTCATGTTTTCCTTTAATGCGTTGTGTTGTGCCTCTAAAAAAGACAATTTTTGTTGTTTCTGCACTTCATTTTCACTGTAATGGCAGATCTGCTCTTTAAGAGATGTTACCTCCGCTGACAGAACCAGCATTTCTTCTTGTTTTTCTGAAGCAACTGAAGAAGCAGAGTCAAGCTCTTGCTGAAGTTTCTTAACAGTGTCCTCATGCTCTTTTCGATTTGATTTGATCATTTTGTTTATTTCAATATTTTGTTCCTTCACAAGCTTTAATTCGTGGTCTACAGAGTCATAGTCATTCCTCAGATTTCTGATTTCTTCATCTTTTAGGGAAATCTGTTCAGACAGATCCAGAATTTGTGTTCGGAGGCTCTCGATTTTGGCCAAAGTCTGACTAACCTTATTCTCCTCCTCCGTTTTCTCCTGTCTGAGAATATTTATTTGCTCCTGAAGGTCTCTACTGGCCTGCAGATGCTCATCAAGCTCCTGCTGTAATGTGCATGCCTCATTTTTCAGGGATTCATTCTCTTGTACAACTTTTTGATGCTCTTCCAGCTTCTGCTCATATTCCTGAATGGTGGCTCTGGCACTTTGCAAGTCAACGATAAGGGCATTCAGGGCATCCTGCTGTGATGCTCTCTCCACTTCTAAACCCTGGATCTCAGTGTGCAGAGCATTAACCATCTTATCTAAAGAGGCAACCTTCCCCTCCAGTTCCTCTCTCTGTTGGCGAAGGTCAGCAGAGATTTTGATCTCTGCCGTCAACTGCACTTCCACCTGTTGCAGGCGAGAAACGTCACTTTCCAGAGCTGATATCTGTGCGGTAAGCATTTCCTTCTGTGTCCATAAAGCCTCCTGCAGTGTTTCTCTCTCTAAACGGATGTTATTGATGGACTGCTCCAGATCGAACACCGCCATTTGGAGTCTTTTGGTTTCCTTTTCAAAAGAGCCTCTCTCCTCAGCCAGCAAAGTCTCAACTTCTGCCTTCTCCTTCTCAAGACGGAAAATAGTGTCCTGAAGCTGAGCGAGTTTAAGAGTCAGATCTGCCAACTCCTGCTTAAGCTCCTCCCACTGAGAAAATGTAATGATTAAAAATGTTAGTCAGAATTGGTCAATTTCTGTGATGTTTTCAGTTCTATAAGAAATACTGTTGTCACATATATATGCTGTCCAATCATAATCAGTAATGTCTATGACTGAAAAAATATTGAAATACTGAACATAAGAAAGAAAATTATGATGAAAGAATGACAGAACATCTCACCTCCAAGATGGGCCCTAAAACCTCTCCTTTCTCCTGAGATTTAGCTTTCTGGAGTTCATCCTCCAGAACGGAGATCTTTCCCAGAAGGATCTGAACCTGCTCACTCAGACAATCCTGCACAAGGAGAACAGGAGCAGGAAAAAAGAACACAGATTAACACCAGAAAGTACAAAGTAAAAACATGCAGAACATGATTAACAAAATAATATAATTTCAATATAATTGAAATTATCGACCCTTTGTGTGACGGCCTCATTTAACTCCTTCTCCAGAAAATCTTTTCTGCTCTTCCACTCAGTCTCTGCCAATTCGTGAGCCAGTGTGAGTTTGGCAACTTCTTCCTCGGCTCTCACCAGCTGATCGAAGGTGTTTCGCACCTGATGGGACCAGAGAAATGTAAAAATGATCTGATCATGACTTTAAGCAGGACTTCAAAACAAACAGTATCTCACCTGTGCAGTAAGCGTTCCATTCTCCTCTGTCAGTTCATCAATCTTTCTCTCTTTTTGGGAGTTGTCTGTTTTTAAGTATTGGCACTGCTTTAGAACCTCATGCACTCTGTGGAGAAGACTGTACAAGAAAAAAAAATCACTTTAAAACAAACATTTTATTCAAATAATTACTGTAAACCCAAATGTGTCCCGTATTGCACCTCACCTCTCGTTCTTCTCCTGGAGCTCCAGCAGTGCGGCTTTATGGTCCTTCTCCAGCTCTCCTTGCTCCCGCAGCATTCGCTCCACCCTGTGCTGTAACTGCGAAATCAGACCCTCTGTGTGCAAAAGAGAAAAAGTAATTGAACCAAGTTCATATCAGAGCACCATAGTTCATCTCGTTCACTAAAATTAAAGGAAACATGGTGATGCATGGGTACTTATGAGTACCTTTCTCTGAGATGATGCTGATCTGATTGGCCAGTTCTTTCTCCAGCTCGTCTCTCACGTCTCCCTCATGCACCAATTCTTTCCGGAGTCTCTTCAACTGGAAATGTGGTGTGCTCATTACGTCCTGCACTGGAGAGCTGGAGGTCAAGGATGTATGGGTATTATTTAGTAACTACTTATTAATATTTCAGAACATATATAATGTTCAATGCATTATTACTATTGACATTTCATATTTGTTGATGTGTATGTGATTGCAATCCATGCTGCAGAACAAATTGCCCTCAAGGGGGACATTAAAACAAAGATAATTCGGTCTTTGCTGAAAGCGAAATGTCATTTTAGGATTTATGAAATTGTGTTGTAATAACTACCTTACTAAAGATTAAACAGCAAATTAGGGGTTTATTGAGGCAAAAGTTGTAGTTAATTGTAAGTTAATTGTGAGAATTGGTCCTCAAATTAAAGCATGACCTAAAATCATATGTAACTTTCTACAAAAAAATGTTAGTAAGCAAATTTTTCACAATCAAATCGTGTTAATGTGCACATTGTTTATGTCTTGTGGCTATACTATTGAAACATTAAAGTATTTTAACGTAGACAAATTGATTATCATTTCCATTGTAAATTTTGGTTTAAAAAGAAGTTTAAAAGCTAAATAAAGGAGGGAAAAAGTGGAAATACATTTTTGTGGCAATCAACATTATGCCACAAATGCTGTCAAATTTGAAAAAACAAATGCACAAACTCCTTTAAATATGAACATGTAAAAAGTCAGTTATATTATTTAACAAAATGCTGATTTTTACTGTAAACAAAAGCATTTTCTATTAGCATTGCCTTATTTGTCACCATACAGTTACAACTTTCAGAAGCAGTGACTCTTTTAACATTTTGCATGGTTTTAGTCATGAAGCTTCTTTTTATTAATTATTTACTACAATCATTTTTTTATTAACACTTAATTTAATTATGAGTAATATTTTTCATCTATTTTAATTTCATTTTATTGCAATTTTAAGTTATTTATTTTAATATTTTTTTTATTATGCATTTATTGAGTTTGAAAACCCCTGATTTAGAGCACAAATGTACAAATACACACCTTGGCCAGCTGAAGCTCCAGGTCAGTCCCTCCACTGATCTTCTGCAAGATGAGGGAACTTTGGCTTTTGGTGAGGTGAAAGTCATCTGCACATGGAGGAGAGAAGTTTATTTATGTTTTAACGCCATATCAGCAACAATGGCTATTTCATTATACAAAAACATACAAGAAACAACAACAGTACTCGTATACAATCTTTCAGTTAAATCAGTAACAAAAATTCTTCCAGCAGAGACTTTAAAAATTTTTTTTATTTTAGTATATCTTCTGGTCTAATATAGTTTAAAATTGGACATGCTATTAATATATGTTTTGAAAAATTCTTACACAAGTCACAGACTGGTTTCTCTTCTCCTTTCAATAAATATGAATGAGTGAGTCTTGAATGGCCAATTCGACGGAGGAGAGAAGTTGTAATACAGGAACCTTACCTTATATTAAGTATATAAAATTACAATAGGCTAGATTTCTAAACGTAAACTATTCTTATACGTTTCATATCATGCAAAGATTACAGGTTGTACATGGTCATGACAGGTGGGGAGATTACAAAATAGCTCAAGTCACTTTCAAGTGCCTTTCCGTATCCACGCTTTTCAAAAACAATGAGACATACGTAAAAGTGTGTTCTGTGTTAATCAACATTATGCCACAAATATTGCCAATAAAGCATAATGTGTCACTACTACAACAACATTTCACATTCACTGCCCAGTCCAGCATTAGTCTAAAAATGAAGCACAAAAGCATGAAATTCCAAAAAGACACAAGCATTTGTAACTCACCCTGCAAAACACTGAAGATGATTTCCACTTTCTTATAGAGGGATACGGTCTTAAAATCCTCGGTGTTCTCTATCCCCCTTCTAAAGTAACAGATCATGCATTTGTCAGAAGTAAATAGTTAGTGCTAGTTATAAGAGTCTCAAAGTGACAACTCACAGTTTGAAGCAGATCTTCAAGAGTCGAAGCCCATCTCTCATCGGAATGAACTCCCAGAGGTGCTTGTCTGGAAGCATGGTGTTTATCTGTCAAAAGGACAAGAGTCACCATATAAAACATCATAGAAGAACATTAAGTGTTTTAAATTATAAAACTGATGTTACAACCAGTGTTGGGGGTAACGCATTACAAGTAACGCGAGTTACGTAATCAGATTTACTTTTTTCAAGTAACTAGTAAAGTAACGCATTAATTTTTAATTTACAATAAAATATCAGAGATACTTTTTCAAGTAAGTAACTCCAGTTACTTTGTTTTCCCATTTATTGACTGACAAGTCTCCTGTCCCCAAGTTGAGAGAAATCGGGAGTAAGTGTAGAGGCGCTGTGTGAACAAGATGTTACTGTAGTTCTAGACTAAATGTCTCACTTGCACAAAAACAGATTCAGTATTTTATTGAGTTTGAAAACCCCTGATTTAGAGCACAAATGTACAAATACACACCTTGGCCAGCTGAAGCTCCAGGTCAGTCCCTCCACTGATCTTCTGCAAGATGAGGGAACTTTGGCTTTTGGTGAGGTGAAAGTCATCTGCACATGGAGGAGAGAAGTTTATTTATGTTTTAACGCCATATCAGCAACAATGGCTATTTCATTATACAAAAACATACAAGAAACAACAACAGTACTCGTATACAATCTTTCAGTTAAATCAGTAACAAAAATTCTTCCAGCAGAGACTTTAAAAATTTTTTTTATTTTAGTATATCTTCTGGTCTAATATAGTTTAAAATTGGACATGCTATTAATATATGTTTTGAAAAATTCTTACACAAGTCACAGACTGGTTTCTCTTCTCCTTTCAATAAATATGAATGAGTGAGTCTTGAATGGCCAATTCGACGGAGGAGAGAAGTTGTAATACAGGAACCTTACCTTATATTAAGTATATAAAATTACAATAGGCTAGATTTCTAAACGTAAACTATTCTTATACGTTTCATATCATGCAAAGATTACAGGTTGTACATGGTCATGACAGGTGGGGAGATTACAAAATAGCTCAAGTCACTTTCAAGTGCCTTTCCGTATCCACGCTTTTCAAAAACAATGAGACATACGTAAAAGTGTGTTCTGTGTTAATCAACATTATGCCACAAATATTGCCAATAAAGCATAATGTGTCACTACTACAACAACATTTCACATTCACTGCCCAGTCCAGCATTAGTCTAAAAATGAAGCACAAAAGCATGAAATTCCAAAAAGACACAAGCATTTGTAACTCACCCTGCAAAACACTGAAGATGATTTCCACTTTCTTATAGAGGGATACGGTCTTAAAATCCTCGGTGTTCTCTATCCCCCTTCTAAAGTAACAGATCATGCATTTGTCAGAAGTAAATAGTTAGTGCTAGTTATAAGAGTCTCAAAGTGACAACTCACAGTTTGAAGCAGATCTTCAAGAGTCGAAGCCCATCTCTCATCGGAATGAACTCCCAGAGGTGCTTGTCTGGAAGCATGGTGTTTATCTGTCAAAAGGACAAGAGTCACCATATAAAACATCATAGAAGAACATTAAGTGTTTTAAACTATAAAACTGATGTTACAACCAGTGTTGGGGGTAACGCATTACAAGTAACGCGAGTTACGTAATCAGATTTACTTTTTTCAAGTAACTAGTAAAGTAACGCATTAATTTTTAATTTACAATAAAATATCAGAGATACTTTTTCAAGTAAGTAACTCCAGTTACTTTGTTTTCCCATTCATTGACTGACAACTCTCCTGTCCCCAAGTTGAGAGAAATCGGGAGTAAGTGTAGAGGCGCTGTGTGAACATGATGTTTCTGTAGTTCTAGACTAAATGTCTCACTTGTACAAAAACAGATTCAGTATTCCTCAAGGTGAATGAAAACAGTGCAATGTAAACCTGCAATAATTAAATGTATTAAATAACACAAATATCTTTCATGCATTTAATCCCATTTTATTAATCAATATCTCTGCTGCCGACTTTCGATGATCCAATTCAGCCATATTAATAAGCAAAAATGACATATGTTTTTCTTTCTTTTTGTTTCATTGCTGAAGAGTGTTGAACTTTCTTCTCCTGCATTCTATGCTTCATGCAATCCAGAATGGCTGAGACGTATTCGTTTCACTTTTGGTGTGAAAGGGCCTTTACATTTGCCAAAAATAGAAATTTTTACATTAAAGGGGTCATATGATGCGATTTCAAGTTTTCCTTTCTCTTTGGAGTGTTACAAGCTGATTGTGCATAGATTAGATCCCTGAAGTTGCAAAGACTAAAGTCTCAAAACCAAAGAGATATTCTTTATCAAAGTTAAGACTCTGCCACACCCCCCTAAAACGGCTCGTTCTAACACGCCCCCACATATCTACCTCACTATGTGGAAATATTAGCATAATGCCGCCCAAATGTTCACGCAAAGAAAGAAGGCGTGGTTTCAGTAACCGCAGTTAGTGTTGAAGCAGCATGTCAGGGAGACGCTGTGTGTTTCTAGGCGAAAGCAAAAGCACTTTATTTGGCCTTCCGAAAGTAGATGCATTTAGGAATCTTTAAGATCACTTACAACAGAACAGCAATGCATTTTATGGACGACCGTTTCGTGAACCTAGGAGAGGAGGTAATTCTGACTTTGCTATGACAATCTGGCGCTTCTGAATCAGCTACTGTTTTGTTATTAGTTTAAGTATTTGCTATTGACTGTTCAAATGCAGAGTTTTGCGCATCGTATGTGTGTGTGCATGCACGCGCGTGTGAGAGAGAGAGAGAGAGAGAGGGGGGGGGTCACATCACAGTGGAGTCAGCTGTCTTAACCGTGGCTTGTGTACTGCAAACACATAGCAGTTTCATCACTGTGTCTGTCACGCGACTCTGTTTCCCTTTCGGGCTCTGTCTTTACATTTCTGACGAGTGCTTGCGGTGTTCGGCCAATCACAATGCACTGGGTCAGCTGGCCAATCAGAGCAGACTGCGCTTGTCGGAAGGAGGGACTTTGTAGAAAACGAAGCGTTTGAGAGAGGCGGGGCATAGAGGACTTACAATAATGTACAGTATTTGAAAAATAATGTGTTTTTTGAACATTAAAGCATGTCAACATATTCTGTTACACCAAATACACAAAATATTGATATTTAAAAAAAGCATCATATGACCCCTTTAAAAACAAATTAGCAAGCCTAGCCCAAATGAGAAAAAGTAACGCAATTAGTTACTTTTTTAGGGAGTAATGCAATATTGTAATGCATTACTTTTAAAAGTAACTTTCCCCAACACTGGTTACAACACTTAAACATGTCAACAGACTACAATAACTGAGACTAATAATCTCATATATTAGTCAGTTCTTTGAATAAACAGCAAAATTGGATGACACTCTTACCCATGCCAAAAGCGGTCCCACCTTGTTCATATTAAACTTCATGGTGGACTCTATTAAAAACATATTTTAAAATGTTACTACAGCAGCACATAAGGTGGCAGAAGAAACAAACCTAGGCTTAATATTTAATGAAAAAGACCTGTTGTAATTCAACTAGGAAAATAACACACCCTAAGAAGCGTGCTTAATGTTTACACCTAGTTTTAGACTTCTGAATAAAAGATGCTACAACAGGCCAAAGTGAACAATTCTAAGCATACAAGACAACATGTGTGTATTTTGATGATAATGAAGAAAATCCACACCTAACGTTATGCATTAAATAAAATCACAAACACATATCTATTTTAAAATATAGTGCACATCTATAGCCTTAACATAAACATGCCAAAGTGTTATGCAGGGCAGATAAACGCAATATAATCATACCTGCAGTATAATTATAATCAACAAGGAAGCAAGTGTGTTTTGAATAGTTTGTTTACTCTGCAACGTTTTGCCCGCTAACTTTTTACAAAGTTTAATCTTAAAAAACAACACCCTCATAAAACGCCATATGAAGCTGAATATAATTTTTTTATATATTGATGAATTAAATGTTTTTTTACCTTGATTTTAGGGCGAGATGAAGCAAGGATACACATCGAATCACTCGCTGAAACGATTTTAAATTCAAACGCACAGCGTTTACTGTATTTGAACAGCGATTGGCCGTCATGCTTCGTTCTCATTGGCTGTCTCAAATCAAAGTAGCCAATGGAAACGCTGCTTCTTCCGCAACGCCCCTGTAGTCTTTCAAATCTCTCCGCTTTTTTTTTTGGAAACACCAGATGTCACGTATATTCCACTTTTAGTTTTAGAGAATTTAGAAAATATAGAGTTCACAGCCATATTCAATGATGAAACGGACAAAGAAAGCGAAGTACGAAAAAGGTAATCGCACCAGAAACGAACGAACTACATTTCCCAGAATGCTATACTTTGACCATGGTTTCCATGGTAACTTTGTTGCTGGCGCGACCCGAAAGCTGCTATGGGTAACACTTAAAATTCACGACAATGGTTATGAGTTGATAAAATTACTGTTTTACATTTTAATTGCCACTGTATGTAAATCCGTACTTTTTTGCTTTAAGGCCTTAAACTTCGTTTTAAGATTAATCACATTTTCTTATTGCAATTTGTAGTTTTTAATCTTGTTTTCTGCAGCCGGAACATGTTTGGATCTCCAGTGGACTTTTCATTTAGGGAGCTCAACACAGTTTCAGGTGTGTTTATACTTTTAAATATCGGTTTAAGTAGTATATTAAACTCAGATCAGATAATTAATTTTCTGCTTTTCAACAGTAATGACAATCGGAATGCATTTATTGTTCCTAAATGAGGCACGTTTTCTAGTGAAACAATAGAATTGTCAGACGCGCAAACGAGTCGTTCTTCTGAGTCGGATCTTTCCAATGAATCGATTCAGTTTACAGATTCGAGCGGTTTTGAATGTCGGTATGAACACTTCTATGAAGCAGATATGCTACAAACAAAAAGAAAAACTGTAATTAATATTGTTATACAATTAATTGATTGTATAACAGTTTCATCAACATGCGTAGTGATAAATATAATTTAGTATATTTATTTATATATAATGTATTTACATTTTTTAAATAAATATAATTAAAAAAAATAATAATTCAGACAAGACATGCCTTACATAACATCTGCTGACATAAATATAATTTGTCCCCATCCAAGATTTTCAGGTTTTATTAGAAGTGCACAAGTAGAATTATCTCACTAAGTTAGGAGTGAGATGCATAAGTCTACATAAGTCTTAAAAATGTAAATTTTATTAATAAATCGGATGCTTGCCAAATCCCACATTCACAGATCCAAATATTCAAATTCTAAACTTCTCTTTTTTGTTTTTATGAAAGAAATAGTCAATTAAATTGTCTAAGAACAAAAAAGCTTTGCAAATCTTTAGTAAAATGCAATTATCAAAACTTGTCCCAGCGGTTGGGTTGTTTTGACCCAGCTATTGGTTTGTTTTGACCCAGCGGTTGGGTTGTTTTGACCCAGCTATTGGGTTTGTAGCATTTGGACCAATCAGACACACAACTTTTTGTTATATTTAACAAATAATATCGAACTCCCCATCACCTAACCAAATGGCCAATTACGAGGGTCTATGGACCCTTCCCCCGAAATGCACCTAACACCTCAGAAAGGCAGAACAGGCCTCTGGTTCCATGGTAACCAATGCTGATATCACTGGTTTTATGGCCTAAAAGGAATGCAGGGGATAAACTCCCTCATTTTCCTCATAAGAAAGGTACAAATGCACTCCCCATCCAAGATTTTCAGGTTTTATTAGAAGTGCACAAGTAGAATTATCTCACTAAGTTAGGAGTGAGATGCATAAGTCTACATAAGTCTTAAAAATGTAAATTTTATTAATAAATCGGATGCTTGCCAAATCCCACATTCACAGATCCAAATATTCAAATTCTAAACTTCTCTTTTTTGTTTTTATGAAAGAAATAGTCAATTAAATTGTCTAAGAACAAAAAAGCTTTGCAAATCTTTAGTAAAATGCAATTATCAAAACTTGTCCCAGCGGTTGGGTTGTTTTGACCCAGCTATTGGTTTGTTTTGACCCAGCGGTTGGGTTGTTTTGACCCAGCTATTGGTTTGTTTTGACCCAGCGGTTGGCCTGGGCCAAAAACAACCCAATAGCTGGGTCAAAACAACCCAATAGCTGGGTTTGTCCCTTTTTAACCCAGCATTTTTTAGAGTGTAGAGTTCTCATCATAAAATGGTGTATAAACAACGATTATCAGTATGTATTTATGTGTACAAAATATTGCAGTGCATTGCTTTTCCTCTTAAGCACTATTTACTTTTTGTTTTTCTGTAGACATGCTCTCTGATGAGCCTAATCCAGGCACTCGTCCGCTAAAGCGTGACTCAGAGCAGAAGATCCTCAGTGCAACGCTCAGACTCAACAACAACTTTCTCTCTGACTTGACGGGACTGATGGACACGCTCTCCACTCTTTATGCTGAGCCTACGCGTCTGGCCTGGCTCGACATCTCCTTCAATGAGTTTCAACACATCCACCCAGTACGCACTTTACCACCTCAGTCTGACAGCTGAGCACAACGATTTGTGTAATTACTGAAATAAGAGATGACCTGCTTTGGGGGAAAAAAGTAGTTCTCTCTCTTTCTTTCAGGTTCTCACTCAACTTAAAGAGCTACGCTTGTTGTATCTGCATGGAAACCGTATTTGCAAGTTGTCAGAAGTGGATAAACTTGCTGTGTTGCCGTTTCTCCACACCATCACTCTGCACGGCAATCCCATAGTGACCGAGCGTGACTACAGGTACGGTCAAAGGTCAGTTAGATGCACAAGTCAGGGAGCAGAAGGGTTTCCAAAAATGACAATTCGGTCATCATTCTTCACCCTTATGTCATTCCAAATGTGTATGACTTACTTTCTTCTGTGCAACACAAAAAAGAAAAAGAAAAAAGGAAAGAAAAATGGCACATGGCATGACCGATGGTGAGTAAACGATAACAGAATAGTCATTTTTGGCTCGGTACACCATTAAAACGCTTTATGTCAAATACAAAGAGCTCATCCTGCTGTATGTGAACTCTGTGATTTTCCGTACTGGTCGTGTTTCTGACACAACAGGTGCTGAAACTGCGGTTAGGATCTGGTTACAAACCTCTGCTGTCCCGTGCATAGCAACAGTAATCACATTTAGTTCTGATACGCACATGGCATATGCATGTGTAAAACCATTCTCAGCCCAGGCCCTACAATCTCACAAGAACATGTTCGGCTCTGGTTTTACTTCAAAATCAAAGAGAAAGAATTGACACAATATATTTTGCCCAAAGAAGCTTATTTTAAGTACAACTAAGATTTCTTTTTGCATTGCATGTTTCAGAGTCGAGCACCATTTTCCCCCTAAATTCTCATTACCAGAGTTCAAAAACAAAATATATTTTAAATAATAAAATATTTATAAATTATGGTTTTAGTTGTTGTACTGCTATTAATTAATAAAAACTTGAATTAAAAAAATGAAAATGCAGCTATTAAAAAATAAATAAATGAAAAAAATATTATGTGATTTTGGGGTAAAACATGACATGGAAATGTTTTCACAAGATTCACGTATATATTATTTATAAATAATATTCAGTGTTTTCAGTCATTTATTTATTTTTTTAAATGTAAAACTTCAAATGTCAATGGACTATAAATGTGTGACTGCGGACAGTTTTACAAGTTCTGTTAACATTAACAGCTTTTATTAAATTATTTTTCTATTCCGTAATCTCAAAAGTCAATTGTATTATAATTTTAGATAGATAGATAGATAGAACGATGGATAGATTTTACAGTAAGGTCCCATTAGTTAATTCTAGTTAGACTATTAACTAAAACATGACTGTTTATTGTTAGTTCTTATATCTCAGGTCCATTAAAGGGGTCATATGATGTTGCTAAAAAGAACATTATTTTGTGTATTTGGTGTAATGAAATGTGTTTATGGTTAAGGTTCAAAAAACACATAGATAGATAGATAGAACGATGGATAGATTTTACAGTAAGGTCCCATTAGTTAATTCTAGTTAGACTATTAACTAAAACATGACTGTTTATTGTTAGTTCTTATATCTCAGGTCCATTAAAGGGGTCATATGATGTTGCTAAAAAGAACATTATTTTGTGTATTTGGTGTAATGAAATGTGTTTATGGTTAAGGTTCAAAAAACACATAATTTTTCCACATACTGTACATTATTGTTTCTCCTCTATGCCCCGCCTTTCTGAAACGCGTAGATTTTTACAAAGCGCATCGGTCTGAAAAGCAAGGTGTGCTGTGATTGGCCAGCTATCCAGTGCATTATGATTGGCCAAATACCTCAGCGACCAGCCCGGATCAGCTCTAGGCATGACGAAGCAGATATCGTCCTCTTTTGGAAGACCAAACAAAGTAGTTTCGCTTTCACAACGAAACACACAGCGTCTTCACGACATGGCGGCGGCAACAACAATACTACAACGAGAATAAAAGTTATGCCTTCTTTCTTTGCGTGAACATTTGGGCGGCTTTATGCAAATCTTCCCACAGAGTGACGTAGATATGTGGGGGAAAAAAAGTATTTAGTCAGCCACCAATTGTGCAAGTTCTCCCAGTTAAAAAGATGAGAGAGGCCTGTAATTTTCATCATAGGTATACCTCAACTATGAAAGACAAAATGAGAAAAAAAATCCAGAAAATCACATTGTAGGATTTTTAAAGAATTTATTTGCAAATTATGGTGGAAAATAAGTATTTGGTCAATTACAAAATTTCATCTCAATACTTTGTTATATACCCTTTGTTGGCAATGACAGAGGTCAAACGTTTTCTGTAAGTCTTCACAAGGTTTTCACACACTGTTGCTGGTATTTTGGCCCATTCCTCCATGCAGATCTCCTCTAGAGCAGTAATGTTTTGGGGCTGTCACTGGGCAACACGGATTTTCAACTCCCTCCAAAGATTTTCTATGGGGTTGAGATCGGGAGACTGGCTAGGCAACTCCAGGACCTTGAAATGCTTCTTACGAAGCCACTCCTTCATTGCCCGGGCGGTGTGTTTGGGATCATTGTCATGCTCAAAGACCCAGCCACGTTTCATCTTCAATGCCCTTGCTGATGGAAGGAAGTTTTCACTCAAAATCTCACGATACAAGGCCCCATTCATTCTTTCGTTTACACGGATCAGTCGTCCTGGTCCCTTTGCAGAAAAACAACCCCAAAGCATGATGTTTCCACCCCCATGCTTCACAGTAGGTATGGTGTTCTTTGGATGCAACTCAGCATTCGTTCTCCTCCAAACACGACAAGTTGAGTTTTTACCAAAAAGTTATATTTTGGTTTCATCTGACCATATGACATTCTCCCAATCCTCTTCTGGATCATCCAAATGCTCTCTAGCAAACTTCAGACAGGCCTGGACATGTACTGGCTTAAGCAGGGGGACACATCTGGCACTGCAGGATTTGAGTCCCTGGCAGCGCAGTGTGTTACTGAGGGTAGCCTTTGTTACTTTGGTCCCAGCTCTCTGCAGGTCATTCACTAGGTCCCCCCGTGTGGTTCTGGGATTTTTGCTCACAGTTCTTGTGATCATTTTGACCCCACAGGGTGAGATCTTACGTGGAGCCCCAGATCGAGGGAGATTATAAGTGGTCTTGTATGTCTTCCATTTTCTAATAAGTGCTCCCACAGTTGATTTCTTCACACCAAGCTGCTTACCTATTGCAGATTCAGTCTTCCCAGCCTGGTACAGGTCTACAATTTTGTTTCTGGTGTCCTTTGACAGCTCTTTAGTCTTGGCCATAGTGGAGTTTGGAGTGTGACTGTTTGAGGTTGTGGACAGGTGTCTTTTATACTGACAACGAGTTCAAACAGATGCCATTAATACAGGTAACCAGTGGAGGACAGAGGAGCCTCTTAAAGAAGAAGTTACAGGTCTGTGAGAGCCAGAAATCTTGCTTGTTTGTAGGTGACCAAATACTTATTTTACAGAGGAATTTACCAATTAATTCTTTAAAAATCCTACAATGTGATTTTCTAGACTTTTTTTCTCATTTTGTCTCTCATAGTTGAGGTATACCTATGATGAAAATACAGGCCTCTCTCATCTTTTTAAGTGGGAGAACTTGCACAATTGGTGGCTGACTAAATACTATTTTGCCCCACTATATATACAAATCCTGTTTCTTTAGTCATTTGTAAAAAAATTTATGCTGCATCATTTAGCAAGCATTTATTTCTTAGTTCATTTTGGTGTCACATAATAGAGCTGCTTTTAGATGCTTCTAAACCCTGTTCACTGACGTTACACTCAGACAGATGTGTGAGCGAGAACTGCTAGAAAACAGGAGGTGGACTTGCCATTTTTGTGAACAGATGGTGCAGCCCAAGACACATGGTTTGTAACTCATATGTACATCTACTCGCTGTTGAACTGTGACCATATTTCCTGCAGCAGGACTTTACACATGCTGTTGTTTTTGGCTGCAAACTCTCTGCCCTCTGCAGAGGCAATAAACACTAGGGTCAGCAAATTCAACACAATGAATTCATCTCTATCTCTCCGGATTTGAATGTTGTACTCACCTCTGCCTTCACCAGTTGTTTGTCAGCGTATTGATTGCCTAACCACAGGAAACTGAACTCTGAAATATGCAGCATATCAGTTGATATGCTTCCCTTGGGTAGATTGGAAAACAGCTTGGTGCATCTTTATCCCTAAATTCACAGCAGTCATCCTGTAACTCTCCGTCATCACTGGAGCAATATGAAAGTGGAAAAAGACAGCAAAATAAGCATTGCGGAGGAGACTGAGATATAGTTTGCAAATCGCACTGTGAGGACACTTGGCTTTATCAGGCTACATCAATTTCTGTCAAGATAATTCATTCCCCACAAAATTAGGACATTCCATAAAAACCTGAAAGACATGCTTATTAATAAGAAGGACTTCAAGTTTCAATAGAAAAAGTGAGCTTGTCAGCAGAAGGAAGCATGAAGTGCTCTAAAATTTCCTGGTAGATGGCTGCGTTGACTGTGGACTTCAGAAAACACAGTGTGAAACCAAAATAGAACTTTTTGGTAAAAACTCAACTTGAGGAGAAAGAATGCTGAGTTGCATCCAAAGAACACCATACCTACTGTGAAGCATGGGGGTGGAAACATCATGCTTTGGGGCTGTTTTTCTGCAAAGGGACCAGGACGACTGATCCGTGTAAACGAAAGAATGAATGGGGCCATGTATCGTGAGATTTTGAGTGAAAACCTCCTTCCATCAGCAAGGGCATTGAAGATGAAACGTGGCTGGGTCTTTCAGCATGACAATGATCCCAAACACACCGCCTGGGCAACGAAGGAGTGGCTTCGTAAGAAGCATTTCAAGGTTCTGGAGTGGCCTAGCCAGTCTCCAGACCTCAATCCTATAGAAAATCTGTGGAGGGAGCTGAAACTTCGAGTTGACAAACGACAGCCAAGAAACCTTAAGGATTTAGAGAGGATCTGTAAAGAGGAATGGATCAAAATCCCTCCTGAGATGTGTGCAAACCTGGTGACTGACTACAAAAATGTCTTACATCTGTGCTTGCCAACAAGGGTTTCTGCGCCAAGTACTAAGTCATGTTTTGCTTGTGGATCAAATACTTATTTCACTCACTGAAATGCAAATCAATTTCTAACCTTTATATAATGTGTTTTTTCTGGATTTTTTTTATTTGTAATCCATCTCTATACAGTGGGGAAAAAAAGTATTTAGTCAGCCACCAATTGTGCAAGTTCTCCCACTTAAAAAGATGAGAGAGGTCTGTAATTTTCATCATAGGTATACCTGAACTATGAGAGACAAAATGAGAAAATAAATTCCAGAAAATCACATTGTAGGATTTTTAAATAATTTATTTGCAAATTATGGTGGAAAATAAGTATTTGGTCAATAACACAATTTCATCTCAATACTTTGTTATATACCTTTTGTTGGCAATGACAGAGGTCAAATGTTTTCTGTAAGTCTTCACAAGGTTTTCACACACTGTTGTTGGTATTTTGGCCCATTCCTCCATGCAGATCTCCTCTAGAGCAGTGATGTTTTGGGGCTGTCGCTGGGCAACATGGATTTTCAACTCCCTCCAAAGATTTTCTATGGGGTTGAGATCTGGGGACTGGCTAGGCCACTCCAGGACCTTGAAATGCTTCTTACGAAGCCACTCCTTCGTTGCCTGGGCGGTGTGTTTGGGATCATTGTCATGCTGAAAGACCCAGCCATGTTTCATCTTCAATGCCCTTGCTGATGGAAGGAGGTTTTCGCTCAAAATCTCACGATACATGGCCCCATTCATTCTTTCGTTTACACGGATCAGTCGTTCTGGTCCCTTTGCAGAAAAACAGCCCCAAAGCATGATGTTTCCACCCCCATGCTTCACAGTAGGTATGGTGTTCTTTGGATGCAACTCAGCATTCTTTCTCCTCAAGTTGAGTTTTTACCAAAAAGTTCTATTTTGGTTTCATCTGACCATATGACATTCTCCCAATCCTCTTCTGGATCATCCAAATGCTCTCTAGCAAACTTCAGACGGGCCTGGACATGTACTGGCTTAAGCAGGGGGACACGTCTGGCATTGCAGGATTTGAGTCCCTGGCGGCGTAGTGTGTTACTGATGGTAGCCTTTGTTACTTTGGTCCCCGCTCTCTGCAGGTCATTCACTAGGTCCCCCTGTGTGGTTCTGGGATTTTTGCTCACAGTTCTTGTGATCATTTTGACCTCACGGGGTGAGATCTTGCGTGGAGCCCCAGATCGAGGGAGATTATCAGTGGTCTTGTATGTCTTCCATTTTCTAATAATTGCTCCCACAGTTGATTTCTTCACACCAAGCTGTTTACCTATTGCAGATTCAGTCTTCCCATCCTGGTGCAGGTCTACAATTTTGTTTCTGGTGTCCTTTGACAGCTCTTTGGTCTTGGCCATGGTGGAGTTTGGAGTGTGACTGTTTGAAGTTGTGGACAGGTGTCTTTTATACTGATTACAAGTTACAGGTCTGTGAGAGCCAGAAATCTTGCTTGTTTGTAGGTGACCAAATACTTATTTTCCCGAGGAATTTACCAATTAATTCTTTAAAAATCCTACAATGTGATTTTCTGGATTTTTCATAGTTGAGGTATACCTATGATGAAAATTACAGGCCTCTCTCATCTTTTTAAGTGGGAGAACTTGCACAATTGGTGGCTGACTAAATACTTTTTTGCCCCACTGTATGTGGGGGCGTGTTAGAACGAGCTGTTTTAGGTAGGCGTGGCTGACTCTTAACTTTTATAAAGAATATCTCTTTGGATTTGAGACTTTAGTCTTTGCAACTTTACAGATCTTCTTTATGCACCAAGAGCTTGTAACACTCCAAAGAGAACCATATGACCCCTTTAAATTTTAAGATATAACTTTAATAATGTATTAGTAAACGTTGAAATTAACATTAACTAAGATTAATAAATGTTTTATGAGTATACAGTATTTCATTTTTAACAAATTGAATATTTTCAATCATTTCTGTCATGAAATGTTGAATTGCTCAGAATTGTTTATGTATGATTCACAGTTCAGGTCACAAAAAGACAAATTCTTTCACTAAATTGCTTTTCTGCCTCTCTTGTAGGGCGCATTTGATCGGCACCCTTCCTCATGTGAAGATGATTGATTTCAGCGCGGTCACTAAACAGGAACGGGAGTTGACTTCAGTTTGGCAGAGGAGCAGAAACCCACACAAATCCATGAGTCACAGCAAAGTGGACTGAACCTTCTCCACCCGACATCCTGATACTCTAATAAACATGAATGTGGAGTTACAGCTACGCTTTGATCTGCAACAGAGAGGCTGACTTTAAATCTAGCCTCCTTCAAAACTGTAAAATACTAGTAGAGCTGGAGTTGCTTCAGTCAACGAGTGTTTCTTCATTAGTCGTTGATGAAGCCACATGAATAAGTGGTGAAACATCTTAAGCAACAGAAAAACGTCCATTTAACTAGAACATCTTTAAAGCCATGGCACAACGTTTCTTTGAGAATTGCAATTAGCAATTCAAGAATGGATGAACTTGCACTCACCACCAATTTATATCTGCTACACAAGACAAACAAAAAAAAGATACTTTATAATTTTGAAATTCTTTAATGCATATTTTCATTCAACAAAAACAGTTTTAACAGAATATTGAAACAAAATTTTTGGTACTAGCCTAAGAAGAGTGATCTCTGTAAATCAGGTAGTATTCCACATTTAGGTAACAAACAAACAAACTTGAGCACTAATAGTAAACTGCAACAGAAAAAGTATTGCAGTGCATTTTATCCCTTTAAAAATCTCAAAGAAAGACAAAAGTGCCTTGCCATGATCTAGAGAGCGAATTGTGCCACACTGTCTGTGAGCTTGCATCAATATATAAAATCAAAATAAATAATTACACAAACATACTGTGAGGCATTTCAAACTCTGTCAGGATTCAGGAAAGAACGCTAGCTGTTTGAATTCACTAGTTCCTTGTTTTTCGGCACAACAGCAAAAAAAATAAAAAATTAGATAGACTAAGTTAAAGCAATGTAATAATATATTTTTATGTAAATCTAGCCTCCTTCAAAACTGTAAAATACTAGTAGAGCTGGAGTTGCTTCAGTCAACGAGTGTTTCTTCATTAGTCGTTGATGAAGCCACATGAATAAGTGGTGAAACATCTTAAGCAACAGAAAAACGTCCATTTAACTAGAACATCTTTAAAGCCATGGCACAACGTTTCTTTGAGAATTGCAATTAGCAATTCAAGAATGGATGAACTTGCACTCACCACCAATTTATATCTGCTACACAAGACGAACAAAAAAAAGATACTTTATAATTTTGAAATTCTTTAATGCATATTTTCATTCAACAAAAACAGTTTTAACAGAATATTGAAACTAAATTTTTGGTACTAGCCTAAGAACAGTTATCTCTGTAAATCAGGTAGTATTCCACATTTAGGTAACAAACAAACAAACTTGAGCACTAATAGTAAACTGCAACAGAAAAAGTATTGCAGTGCATTTTATCCCTTTAAAAATCTCAAAGAAAGACAAAAGTGCCTTGCCATGATCTAGAGAGCGAATTGTGCCACACTGTCTGTGAGCTTGCATCAATATATAAAATCAAAATAAATAATTACACAAACATACTGTGAGGCATTTCAAACTCTGTCAGGATTCAGGAAAGAACGCTAGCTGTTTGAATTCACTAGTTCCTTGTTTTTCGGCACAACAGCAAAAAAAATAAAAAATTAGATAGACTAAGTTAAAGCAATGTAATAATATATTTTTATGATGTTAAAACTGAAACAGTTAAGGTAAAAGTGTCCCTGTTTGCTTAGCTAAAAACAAGCTATGGATCGTAGAGCCGTTTACACGTCCCACTACACAAGTATTAATCATTCATCTCAAATCATTTTACACTCTGTACATTAAAGGTATTGACACAAAAACATCATTTACAATCTACGAATTCCCGCCGCAACAACTCAGACCCACTTCACCATCCAAAACACCAGGATTTGACGGTATGATTATTCGTAAGACAGGCCATGCTGTTCTGGCTCGGTTTAACCAGTGTTCGTCTTTTTATTTTTACAATAAGACTGCATGCCCGTTTGAAGGTTATAGGAAAGGTGCACAGTAAGAAAAACACTTTCTCTTCCGTTAAAAGCAATAGCAGAGCCGCTTCAGAGGATTCAAAATCTCAAATGAAATTACTGATCTGACTTGGCACGGTGCGTCAAACCAAAGACTATAGAATGCCTTAAAGGTACTTTGGTCAAACGTACCGTGATATTTACACTCCGCCATAAAATGCATATATATACATATTGACAGGAATGAAAACGAGGCTGTGAGGGACTGAAGTGCAGTGCGTTCAATTGATCGTACTGTTGTTTAACAGTGCGCTGACGAAACTTCTTTCCGAAGAAAATTTTCAGTAGACAAAAACTCCATAAATAGTTTAAAAGTTGTGAAATTACATGATCTTTATACAGTGTGTGCTACTGTAAAGACTAAGGTAAGTCTATGCATCACAACCTCGTTTTCATCCGTGTAAAATTCAATATGGCGTCTAACCTGATTAAGGTCTATTAGCAAATAGAGGAAAACAAAAACAGGAATTAATGATTTAAAGTTTGCAGGACCTTCTTGGGTAGTTAACAGTGATAGACTCAAATCTAAACCAGTTGAAAATCATTTGATAGAATTTCAAGCAGATCAGTCACGCAAAACAGAGTTCTACATCCAAATTAGTTAAAAAAACAAAGATGGTTAATGCAACATTATGTGTGTGTTACTCTGGTTAGACAGAAATATTACTTATCCATATTAATCTGCATCCCAATCTGGAACCTCAGTGCATACAATTATGAAATTGAATCAGAAATAATGAACTCTAAACCACAGTGATTCCAGAATTCTACAGGAGAACAAATTTCATTACTGAACCATAACCTAAGTGTTAAGATGACCCAGCCACACTGAGTACATATAGAGTTAACTTTAGTACAAGTATAAGAGTAATCGAGAAGTCTGGATGCGCTACTTGGTTTAACAATCTCCAATCAGGACACTGAAAAGCCAACAGAAGAAGAATCAACAAGAACAAATCAAACTAAACAAAAGATTTTCAAATACATTTCTGATGTATTTGTTGAAAAAGAGTTTGATTAAAACTACCGGTAACTGATCAAATGCAACTCGTCAAAGCAAAGATAGAAGATCAGATGTTTTTACTCTCGCGGATCTGTGCTGTGGCAGCGGCTGACGGATTTACACAAGGAGCTCTGGTTGGGGTGAATTATATTTATATGCAGGGCATTCAGAGAACAACCACACGGGCGTCTGCATCTCAAGAAGTTTGGAAGGAGAACAGAGGAGTGAAAAGGGCTAGAATTAGAGACAGAGGAACTGGGGGGGAAGGAGGTCCAACTTTTGAATCATGGTATAGCAAACTGCACCACCAGCTCTTCCTTGGCATCTACTTTGATTTGTGAGATGGCGCTGTAGGCATACGCAGCGATCTTAGACACCTGAGGAGGGAAAAAATGCAATAAATGAATAATATGCGCTGAATAATATGCATCATTCCTAGTGATAGACCAATACATCGACTATTCATCACATCGCCAACAGCCTGACCAATGGAAAATGCACAATTTATGTCATACAGTTTTTTAAACTTATGTAAACTACTGTTCAAAAGTTTGGGGACAGTAGAAGTTTTTGAAAAGAAATTAATACTTTTGTTCAGCAAGGATGCATTAAAATGATCCAAAGTGACCGTTAAGACATTTATAAAGTTACAAAAGATTTATATTTCACATAAATGCTGTTCCTTTTAAACTTTCTGTTCATCATCAAAGAATCCCGGAGAAAACGTTTCACGGTTTCCACAAAAATATTAAGCAGCACAACGTCTTAGAACATTGATATAGCACACTGAAATAGAAAAGTTACATTCAATTCTAATAATAGTTTTCATAATATTACTGTTTATACTGTAATAAATGCATGCCTTGTGAACATCATCTTCATTCAGAAATGTAAAAAATCCTAATAAACCTCTAATTTCAGAACAGTAGCATATTTATAGATTCATACATGCATCTTTAATATATACATATTATATAAAAACAGTTGTTTAAAGCATATATGCATGCATGTCAACTGCTACAATTAACTACATTAGCTTATTTATATATTGGAATATATATTACATATTGACTGAATTGATCTCTAGTTTTCATTGTCTGTAATCAATCACTAAGAATTTTAGAAAAAATTCGCACACTGAAATAGAAAAGTTACATTCAATTCTAATAATAGTTTTCATAATATTACTGTTTATACTGTAATAAATGCATGCCTTGTGAACATCATCTTCATTCAGAAATGTAAAAAATCCTAATAAACCTCTAATTTCAGAACAGTAGCATATTTATAGATTCATACATGCATCTTTAATATATACATATTATATAAAAACAGTTGTTTAAAGCACATATGCATGCATGTCAACTGCTACAATTAAACTACATTAGCTTATTTATATATATTACATATTGACTGAATTGATCTCTAGTTTTCACTGTCTGTAATCAATCACTAAGAATTTTCACACCAGGCTTTGGCATGTAAAAGGCAGTCTAATGTACAGTGAGACGGTCATTTAATAACCGAGTCTGACCTGCTGTACATCTGCGTAGGAGACCAGGTCAGCGGCGAGCACCTGGTGAGGTTGGCTGCTCAGTGACGGGAGAGGAACCGGCTTCTTCTGAGACAGCGTTCTGCTCAACACCTCCAGCTTGGTGCTTTAACACAAACACATATGATTCAGCTTAATACATAACCTATGTGCAAATTTTCATCAGCTTAAAAAAATTGACATATCACTCATCTAGTGATGCATGGTTATGACGTCACAATAACATACAACCAGCCAAATGGCATTTCAGTAGTGCAACACACCTGTACTGTCTGGCTCTGTCCATGTATTCATGTTGCTCCATGCCTTGGGAATCAACAGCCGACACGTCAATTATGTTTCTAACCAACAGGAAAAGAAAAGTGAGTTAAATCTACCAACAGACCAATACGTGTAATAAAGAACACAACAGTCACAGTGAAAGGTAACGTGTGTGTCGTACAGGGATTTAATAACCGAGTCTGACCTGCTGTACATCTGCGTAGGAGACCAGGTCAGCGGCGAGCACCTGGTGAGGTTGGCTGCTCAGTGACGGGAGAGGAACCGGCTTCTTCTGAGACAGCGTTCTGCTCAACACCTCCAGCTTGGTGCTTTAACACAAACACATATGATTCAGCTTAATACATAACCTATGTGCAAATCTTCATCAGCTTAAAAAAATTGACATATCACTCATCTAGTGATGCATGGTTATGACGTCACAATAACATACAACCAGCCAAATGGCATTTCAGTAGTGCAACACACCTGTACTGTCTGGCTCTGTCCATGTATTCATGTTGCTCCATGCCTTGGGAATCAACAGCCGACACATCAATTATGTTCCTAACCAACAGGAAAAGAAAAGTGAGTTAAATCTACCAACAGACCAATACGTGTAATAAAGAACACGACGGTCACAGTGAAAGGTAACGTGTGTGTCGTACAGGGCTGTCCGCTGCAGGATGGTCGTGAGCAGGGCCTGTTCATCTGTGCGGTTGGACGGCAGGCTGTCAGCGTTTCGATCCGAGCCATTGGTGGGTATTTTGTTTAAGTTTGGGTCAGGAATCAATGGCTTTACCTCTTCATTCTGCACATAAGAGCCAAAAAGAGTTTGGTCAAAAGCATGATCATCACACCTCCTGAAAAACCATCGGTGCACTCTTTTGAGGAGGCAATGGTAGCCTAAAACAATGACTAAATAGCTATTTGTCTAACCAGTATGCCACACACCCTAGGTGAAAATAATGTTGTGTCAGAGTCTGCAAGTTATTACATTTTGAAGGAACATGTTGTCAAGCTACTCCTGAACCTGTCATAAATGTACTACAAGTTGCTCTGGCTGACAGCATCTGCT